AAAAGCTGATTACTAAACAACCAAGGATACAGTGCTGTAAATTTCCAGCCTTACTATTGATTATATCCCAGAATGACTGCATGAGGAAGTTGTTTACTTAAAGTCCATTACAAGCATAAGCTTACCACAGTGGAATGATGTAATATGACAGAAAGTACAGCAATGATAACAATCACACGATTCTAGGCTACAGCAAATGAGCACAAGCATAGCAGCTGTTAATGCAAAAACAAAAGAAGAAAAACTGTTTACATTTACAAGACCTCAGGTATACAAAGACCTCCAACGAGATACCCTTCCCTCCACTTCCAACCCTTAAATGAGGTCTGGGGAAGGGTGGATCATGGCTCCCCAGCCCTTCCAGTCACTACGGTTCATTGCTTGCACCTGAGCTCCCCTGGGTTGGCCTTGCCTTCCTACCAGGTGCTCAATCACTGTTTCAAGCCATGACTTAGCATTTCCACTACACACAGCAGATACTGAAAACATGGCTTACCAGATCATCAAGCTAGGAAGTAAAAAATGAAAATAAAAAATGTTGGTATCTGTTCATGCAAAGAACAAGACAGCTAGCCAATAAAGTTCCACTGATATGCAGAAGAATTATCTGCCAGAGTCCTGACTCATAAGCAGCCTCTTGGCTGTGTTTAGCAGCAGAGGAATGTTTAGTTGATTAGTCCTCTATAACAATAAACAAGAACTATTGAAAAATGTGGAAACTACTGTTGAGGATGTCAGGGAGTGTGACATAATTGATGTAAAGCCTGAGACCCCCAGTTAACCAAATGATGAAGTACACAATTTAAAATAATGGCTCTGTTGTAAAAAGCACTAGGATTTGTTCTCAATTATGTCATCATCATCCTTATCTGAACATTCATACGGTTAAAATATTTTTAACTTTAGTCTCTTCAACCATAAACAAGTGTCTGTGTGACTACATAAGCTGATCTAGTGACTCATCGCACTGAAAAACTGATCTCACAAAAGCTACACAGAAAATAGGTGCTGTACTCTGAAACCTACATTTTGCAGAGTTGTTTTTCTTTCGTAAAGGAAATCTGTATGAAAGGACATTTTGTAAAAAAGAAAACAAAATAAATAATTAAAAAAAAAAAAAAAAAAAGAAGAAACCCTAAAAGATATACTCCAAAGGAAGCACTGTAAAAGTTCCTACAGCATACTCTGCTGTTGTGTTATTTAGGTGTGCCTCAATACAAAGGATCACATGAACTCATTCTGGTCAGTTCAGAGTTCAAGCAGTGTGACATCATTATTCTCTGTAACAGAGTGACTAATTTTTTTTTCCCGATAAGACAAAGGCAACATTGGATAAGTGCTGGGTACAAGGATGCATAACCTTCCTCAGACTGAACGTGTTCACAGATGATAGTTGTTTAGCCAGGCACTAAACAGAAATAAGCACATTTTTCTTTTGCCATAGAAAAAAAATCCAAGAAGCATTGTTTTTTATATACAGTGTCTGTAAAATTCAGAGAAGCTGAGCTGATCCAATATCTGTATATGCACAATATAAGGAAAACTATTTCTAATGCATAAGCAACTTCAATCCACACTCAAGACATGCACTGTCAGACATACTCACACCTGCCTAAATGTCCCTCAAGTCCCAACAAAGAAACGAGATCATTAAATTATCCCCTGAAGAAAGACTGGAAAACTACCAATAGCTTTCTCATTCTTCTTCTGAGAAAAGGACTCATAGACTTCATAGAAAAGGACTGTTTCATAGTAGGTTCAAATAATGACACACTTTCCTTTGATTGTGAAAGGGTGTAGCAGTCAGATCAGAACAGAATTTGAATCTACTAAGCTAACTCATTATTTTCCCTACTCTTACAAACTCATTGTCAAAAATACTACCGCCAATTTCTCAGTAAGCTCTAGGTACAGATTCTTATCTGTAGATATTACCTTTTTGCTCCCCCCCCCCCCCCCTTTTTTTTTTTTAATAAGGATAATATTTACCTTTTTTTTTTTTTTTTTTTAAGTCATTCTGTGAAGTCGTTCTGTGCAATTTTTTCATATGTGTATTGTTTCCAGAAAACAATAAAAAACAGTAATAGGGCATGAATACAATTTCCACCCCTCTTTTTCTTAAAACCTAAAAGAAAATAATCACCTGGAGAAGAGAATCTTTGTTATGGTCTAGAATTGTAGGATAAATATTCAAAATACAGAAAATGAGAAAAGTAGAATTCACCTAATTCAGTTAACTGCTTCAAAAAGGGAAAAATGCTTCTGATTAAATACAACAACAGCAGCAAAAACAAACATAAGCAAAGAACAAAAAACCCACAACACTTTAGGAAGCACAAACCTAAAAAATGGATTTTTGTTTTTGGTATTTTTGGTAAGCCTAGCCTGGAGCAAATCACTAAAGGCTTGATTCAAAACAGTATTCTGCTGTTTTCTAATTTACCTAAGTTACTTTAATGAATAAAATATGTTGACATACGTTGACTCTGTACCTTTAATGTATAAATGTCATATCAATACCTCATCTAGCTCCAGTGCTTTAGGCTTTAAATTAGAGCTAGACATAAGTAAAGGTCAACTATAAGTCTTCTGTGAAAGAAGAGATCATTACATTGTTAACATATTAAACATAATTTTTTTTAAACAATAGGTAGGAAGCTGTTAGCTTCCCCTTCCTATAAATAGCTACAGACAAAACTTGTAAGCTTATTCAAAATACAAAAATATAAAGCCTAATCAGTGGACTGTTTTGCAGCTGTGTCATGGCTACAAAAAAAAAATGTAACTGTAGAATCTTCTTGAAACAGCTGTGAAGATGCCTAATTTGTAATCCTTATTCACTTATGTAAATGTTCATAATTAGCTGTTTTAATTAACATTTGTGACACTATTCATGATAGCAACATAAAACATTGCTGTTTTAATGGTCAATTAAGATGAGAGATAAGATAATCCAGGAGGGCAGATGAGACAACCTGAAGACAGTCTACAGCATTACACTAGTGGAACGATTCTGGTATGTTAACTGTAGAGTGGTTGTGCTCATGATGTAGAATTTTTTGGATGAAAAGATAGGATATGCATCCCTGAGTAATTTAGCAGTGTTTTCTTTCTGTGGTTAAGTCAAATACTGTATATATTCTCTTGTTGTAGTATGTAGAATAATTCCTGTATAAAGAAAAATTAAAAAATCCTCCCTCCTACAACCACCCAGTTACATGGTTAGGACAAATATTTCAAGTTTGTTAATTTACTTCTTCAATACTAGAAACCTAAAGAACAGAATATTTCTCAAGGATTGAAACCTGAGTAGCTGGTTTAGTCATAAGTTGACTTCAGTTGTCTTAGAATTACTTCTCAGAAGCCTATGCTTTCACTGACAGATGAAAATTCTGTCACTGGATTTATAAAATCTCATATATCTTTTTTTTTTTTTTTTTTTTTTTTTTTTTTTCCACCAGATATTTTTGGAGTACATAGCTTCTGGAAACTCGCATAGATGTATTTTTTTTTAATATGTTTGTAGGGAGGATGTTAGAAAGTTTTTAGATTGCTGTATTAGCCAGTCATCTTGAAAAGCCTATTTTGTTCAAATTCAGATATAAAACAGTACATGTTTGAGGGACATTCCTATCAGCCTATGATCATTTTATTGTAAGCTAACTGTCTGACTCACTTGTTGCAGTTAAGTGTTTGACTGAGATTACATTAGAAACCAAGAGGAGAAATACAGCTACATAGCAGGAAACTTCTGCAGCTACACATTCTTACTGTTGTAAAATGAATTTTGCTAGATGTAGAGATATAAAATTTCTTAGATATGAAGCCAAGTTAAGAACATTTTGTACAACTTTTTTCACCCTCAGGCCATACCTAAGTTGCTCTCAGAGGTGGGCCAAAACACCACAGTGCAAACTGGTTGCCAAAATAATCCGAGGTTTGTTTGGTTGCCTTAAGTAGTTGTGGTTTTTTCCTTTTCTGGGGGAGGGGATGGGGTTGGGGAAGTGAGGGACTCTTTAATTTTAATTTCCTAATTGAGATAGTTGCATAGTATCACCTCACTTTTTGCTTAAAGTTGCCTGCAGAATTTATATGCTCGTAAATTGTTGGTTCGCGTGTAGAATACTGTTTTTTCATTCTCAAATCTGGGTGAGGGTTGGGGTGGAGTAGAAATAGGAATACTAACATTTTTAAGTATAGCTAAAAAATTGTTATTATTCCAAGAAATGCCAGATTGTTCCACAAATCTCAGGCATGCTTTAACCATGTGTGTCAGTACAGGTGTATGGAGACAGAGATGGGAGAAATCTACTGTACAGATCTTACTTGCACATTGAACATAAAAAGGTTTGCTGTGGAAGATGTGCAAAGCTCTCTAGGGAACTCTAGAGGGAACATCCTCTATACGATAATAAAATGATAGGTTTGTACATAAATCTGGACTCCAAAGATTTTTGGGTTGCCCTTGTCCTCTTACAACAGACTGTGTCTGTTTCTATGGCTGTTTTCCTGGTAACTTAAACATACATTCAGCTATGCCAACACAAAAAGCCTGTTCTTCTCTCATTTGTATAACAATTATATTGATATACAGGGACATGCATGAGGTCCAGCCAAAGAAATTTAGTTTTCTACGTAAACTTCAGGCAGTTTATTTTGATATTATGAACCACAAACATAAACAGAAAACTCAGACTTTGAGGACTGGACTTCCCAAAGGTGAGGGGTAAAAAAGGCTTTCATTTGTGGTAACTCAATTTTAGCCAACATGCCACAGTTACCCTGTGCACCCAATATACTCCTAAAACAAAACGCAAAGGAACATACTTCAGAAAAACCCCGTGGGTAGCACTGATATTCCACACATGAAATGCAGACCTTTCCTGCTCCCAGCATTTTGAGGAAAAAAACTAAGCCAAGCGCCTTCACAATGAACCCATCCTACTTGCTGGCTCTGTACTACCTAGCCCTGTACCAATCAGCCTGTTATTCACTCTTACATCTTTCCAACTGGAGTTCCTGGTCCCAAAGCTGCACCCCTACTACGCCATTTCCTGGCAAAGCCTCACTGCCCTTTCCGGCCGCCCGCCCTCAGCTCATGCGCACTACGTAAGCGCATGCGCAATAGCGGTCGTCTGTCCGCGCGCATGCCTAGATATGCTCAGCGTCTTAGGCGGTTGATTGGGAGTAGGCGTCTCGAGTACCTCCAGGAACTGCTTTAGCCGCCATGGGGAGACGCCCCGTTGTGGGTGCCGACTCTATGGGACCGTGAGGATACAGTCCTGACGAAAAAGGGGCCTTGTGCCGAGCCGGAGCCGCCGGAAGGATGGAAGATCAGGCAGCTCCGGGCTCTGGGGGCGGCGACGAGCCCCCGGGCCCTAGCAAGATGAACGCGAAACGGAGCGGGCGCTCCTCGGAAGAGGAGACCCGGAATAAGACGAAGTTGGTGAGTGAGCGTGGGGGTGGGGGAAGCCGGGGATGGAGGGGCAGGCGGTCGGACCGGGGGGGCTGCTGGATTCTTTTTTTAGGAAGGGTTTAATAATAATCTGTGATGGTTTTTGGGTACCCCGGTGGTAACGGGAGAAAACGTGCGGGGGGTGCGCGGTGCTGGGAGGTGCCGGCTGGAAGGAGGGGCGCGGCGCAGCGCCGGGCCGCGCGGCTGCGGCACCTGTTGCTGTAACCCGGGCCGAGCGGCTCGGCGCTGTGTGCGTGCGCTGTGCCGTGCGGGAAGCCGCGATGCGAGCGGTGTGCTTCACGAGTGAGCTCCCGAGTTAGTGCGAAAATAGCGTATAGCGTTACGTGCGTGTCAGGGAGATAAGGAGGCGTGTGTGTGAAGATGCTGGAGTTTTTCTGGTTTCTTTGTAAGGAACAGGTAAACTTTTGATTGCACCAGCCCTCCTTGGACCAGTACTGTTTATAAATCAAAGCTGCTTTTTGGTCTTAAGCACTGTATTTCTTATGAACATGCATAGGTACATTTCAAAGCCACCAGTCCCGTATCTCAAATTATAAATGGAGGAGAAGCAAGAGAAATTAATTATATCAGTGTTTACTTTGCTTACTTCAGTTACTTATATTTGGTTTAACTTTGAGTGAATTCGTTTTACCCTTATCTTCAGACTGCCTTTCCAGACAAGCACTGGAGGCGTTAATTAAAACCAGACTGAGACTTCACATTGATTAGAGCATTAATTATAAAGTTTTGGTATAACTTGTGCGAGCCTTTTCACAGGTGAAACTAAGTTAATATTTATTTGCTCCCACCTTGGATTCCTCTCATTAAGAGTAATGCAAAGGAGCCTTGGGCTGATCAGCTGGAAACCCATTTTTCTTGAAACCCATTAACTTGAAATGCACATGGGGAAGATGTTTATATGGGGCATCACAAATGCACTGAAAGTGACAATCGCTTAAAAGGAAGACAAAACGCTGAATAACTTGAACTTTGCTTATATTGAAGGCAACCATGTATATATTAACTCAGCATAAACAAATACTGTGGTTTATTTTGTTTTCTGGTGCTATTGGAAACAAACTCTCACTTCCGTGCACAGGATACATAGTATCAAAGTTTTTATGCTTAAAGTAACTAGCAAAGCTGCTTGTAGATGTTTCCGAGGGAAGAGATTTTAAAAAGTAGTTTTGTTTGTAGTTTTTGGATGCAGGAGACTCCTTTAATTTGAGGCAAAAAACTTGGACAGAAATCTTCCATTGCAGAGGAAAGGGCTTTGTCCTAATTGAAATCCAAAATTTTATAAACTTGTGTGAGATGAGCTCAAAATTGGATTGAGCAGGCCAGCTATTTCTATTGCATGCTCTCATCAGTTACTCTAGAGTCAGTAGGGTTGAATTTTTTGCTACTCTTAATGGGAGAAATATATCCCACTAGTACTTCAGTTTGTATGCAGACATGCTTTTGGTTTTTGAGGAGATAATTACACGCTAGCAACAACGTGAATGTGAATGGTGGTACCTTGCTTGAAGTCAGGGCAGATCTGTCTTTCAGAAGGTCAAGTGACTTGCTTCTGGTGATATAATTGGGTGGATGTATTGACTGGGTGAGGAGATGTCTTATTTAGGACATGATGTATGCAAACTCTGGATAAAGCTGTAATGAAGTGGGGTGTACCTTTGAGAAAGGATAAGGATGGAATTAAAGTGTATTTGAAGTTGAGGCAATGTGAGCAGACAGATTTATTACTTAATGGTAATGGTGACTGTTTGTAAGGGCAGAACAAGACATACCAGGAAAGGCATCATTCATTATACAGAAGAATAATCTTCTATAAATTTTGCATTTTTAAACATTGAATAAGGAACTAATTCTGCTGAGGCTAGCAATTTCTTTTGGCTATTCGAGAGCTACCTTGCATGTACTTATCTTTACTGTGCAAATAAGACGGATAGTTGAGACTTCTAAGAAAATCCATGCTGCTTGTACAAGTATGAAATTGTCACTGAGTTTGTAAATGAAACATAAATTGTGGTATGGAAATTTCCTTGGTTCATAGCTTATAATTTACAAATGTTCAATAGAGTTAGATAGATGAATCCACCTGTAGGTTGTTGGCTAGTGTTTGGAACTGTATGATGTACTTTGAGAGGTATGCCTCTTTTCAATAATCGCAAATATAAAGTGGCATACTGAAAGGGGCTTTGTGGGACAGGGTATGTAGCTACATATAACACCAGATTTATTTTCAGTGTCTGGCATCAGGCCTTTGGAAGAAGGATGAAGGGGAATGATTTTTATGTGGAATGTCTTAAAGTTCAACAAGGCCAGGTATAAATTTTTGCATGCGTGGGTTGGAGCACAAATACAGACTGAGTGGAGAATGGATTGAGATTAGCTCTGAGGAGAAAGGTTTGGGGATGAAAAGCTCAGTGTCAGCCAGCAGCAGTGTGTGCTTGCAGCCTGGAAATCCAACTGTATCTTGGGGGTGGCTGTATTAAAGGAAACATGGGCAGCAAGTTGAGGCAGGTAACTCTTATTCCTCTACTAGAGGCCACAAGGATGCTCAGAGAGCTGGAGCACTTCTTCTGTGGAGGCAAGTGGAGAGAGTGGAGGTTGTTCAGCCCCAGAGAAGGCTCTGGGGAGAACTTTCAGTATTTGAAGAAGACTTGCAGGAAAGCTAGGGACCCTTTATCAGGGTATTGATAGGAGAAGGGCTAATGTCTTCAACTGAAATAGGAATGGTTCAGGTTTGACATTGGGAAGAAATTGTTTACTCAGAGGGTGGTGAGGCACTGACACAGGCTGCCCAGAGAAGCTGTGGATCCATGGAACTGTTCAAGGCCAGGTTCAGTGGGGCTTTGGGTATAACCAGGTCTAGTGAGAGCTGACCCTGCCTATGGCGGGGGATTAGAAATAGGTGATCATTAAAGTCCCTTCCATCCCAAACAGTTCTATGATACAGTTTTCTGTAAGACAGCTAAGTTGATATTCTCACGTACAATCAAAGTTGAGCTGCATTAGAACTTTTTTTTTTCTGATTTGGGTTATTTTGAGAGTCATGTAAGTCTAATATGACCTTTTGAACTTGACAGAACTGCGGAGTGACAATTTAGCTCCATATTTTGTACTAGTAGTGTGTGTGAATGGGAGTAATTTCTATGAAAAGTTTATAATCCAGGCAACACTGGAAGGGCTCTGATTTAATCTTTTTTCATATCATTTTGTGCTAATGCAAGGACTAGAGGTGGGAATGAGTGCCTAGTGTTTCTGCCACGATTTTTGTTTATAATGGAATGGGCAGGAAAAAATGAAATTGTTTTAATAAACAATCATCTGATCTCATGCCAGCCCTGAGCATGGGCTAGCATGAGACAACAGCGAACAGCTACATATTTAGCTTGGTTTGGCAACAGGCTTGTTTTGCCTATATAGCAGGCATACTCTTAAATTAGTGGAAACAGACTAAATTAAGTTGTCAGAGAAATTGCTGAGACTTCTGGGTTTTAGTCCTTAACTTGGATATTGTTTGCTGTGTCTAACACTAAAGTAAGTATGTACTAACACTAAAAGAATTATTTAGGTTTTTTTTGGCTGCGTAGGAAACAGGTGCATGCTCAAAAGTGTTGGGTCTGTTTGAATGTGGTTGTCATTGTGTAGCTGAACCCAAATATTTCTCAAGTCTTTTCAAGACTTTTCAAACCTTTCACATGAGGAGCTGAAGCCAGGCTTTTTACAAAAGTTCATATGATGAGAATGGGAGGCAGTGGAAAAGTGAAACAGGAGCAATTCTGACTGGGAATTAGAGGAAAAAGTGATTTGAAAGGTGATTAAGCTTTGGAACTGGTTGATCAGAGGTACTGTGTATCTTAGTCATTGGAAAGGTTTGAGACCTGGAAACGTGGACAAAGCTTTTAGCAGCCTGGTTTGTGTTTTGTGTTGACTCAGCTTTTTGAGCAGGAATTAGGGTGAGACACCTGAGATATTTTCAGATGTCTGTGATGACATGAATCAGTGCTTAAAAAGACGTTGTTAGAACAGGATATGTGGTGCTTCCTGACTGTTTGAATGCTGCCTAGCTAGAAGTTCACATGGTCAAAATTTTTTGTCTGAGTCAAGGTTTTGTAGTATATCCTGTTGATTTTCTATTAGCATAAAAGAGAAGTATTTCTGTGCATGTAGTGGCTAGTGCCACGCTGAAAGCATGCTTCATTACTCCAAGTTAATTTCATCTTTGTGAGGTTACATCAGTGATAAAAATAACTTAGCAACAATTTTAGTTTTCACAAAGGGCAGTGATATGAGTATGGCACTGTCTTTAAAAGTAGATTGAGACAGAGCTTGTAAAATGGGGTAAAAAATGTTAGGGGTAGGAGAGAGATTACTTAGTTGGAATGCAAGTAAATGCGGTGATGTGGATTTGATGATTCATCCCACAAGGAGCAACTCATACTTGAGTTTAAAAACGGAAATAGTTTAAAATGCTTCAGTATGAAGCATAAACACTCTGAGCTCTCAGAAATCAATCAAAAACTGAAAATCCAATACTCTGACTAATGTGCCATCAACTAATGTCCAACAGTGGAATAAGGGCTTTTGTCAGTTAGCTTATATACAGAAGTAAACTGAC